GGAACCCCCCGGCGAGGGTGCAGCCTCCGGGGTCCCTGCAGGTGAAGGGGATCAGGGGAGGTGGGGTACTGAGGTGGAGGAGGGTGTGGGAACCTTGAGGGGGAACACGAGGGAGCCTTGAGCACCCCCCCAAGCTGGGGGTGTGAGGGGGTCTCACCTGGTCTGAGGAGGGTGAGGGTGATGGGGGATGAAGGATCTGGGCTGAGGGGGGGATGTCTTGGGTGGAGCTATGGGACAGAAGGGGGATGAGAGATTCAGGAGAGGTATGGGGGTGAGGGGGGCCCCGGGGGAACCCCCCGGCGAGGGTGCAGCCTCCGGGGTCCCTGCAGGTGAAGGGGATCAGGGGAGGTGGGGTACTGAGGTGGAGGAGGGTGTGGGAACCTTGAGGGGGAACACGAGGGAGCCTTGAGCACCCCCCCAAGCTGGGGGTGTGAGGGGGTCTCACCTGGTCTGAGGAGGGTGAGGGTGATGGGGGATGAAGGATCTGGGCTGAGGGGGGGATGTCTTGGGTGGAGCTATGGGACAGAAGGGGGATGAGAGATTCAGGAGAGGTATGGGGGTGAGGGGGGCCTCAGGGCCCCCTTGGAGGGTAGTTCCTGGGGAGAACTTGGTGTTGGAGGTCAGCCCCAGGCTGGGGAAGGGGAGTCCTGGGAGACCCCTCCAGCCTGGGGGCCAGGGAGGATGGGGGCTGTCAGCAGTGGAGTTTCCCAAGGGCCTCCTCCGTGAGGGGGTGATTCTTAGGGCCTGAGGTTCCCTGTGGGGGATGGCTGGAGTCAAGATGGGGGTTTGCCCTTCCCTGGGACCCCAGACCCTGCAGCCCCCCAGCAAAGACCCCTCAAGAAGTGAGCAGCAGTGTGGGGAGCAAGGTGGGGGTCCCCCATTTATGGGTGCAGGGGGGCGGCTCCCTCAGAGCATAACAGGTCTTGGGAGCTGCTGGGGTGGCTCAACCCTCCCCTCCCCAGCCATGGCCCGGGGTCTCGAGCTCCCTCCTCTCCCCACAGAAAGCTGGATGCGCCGGTGGGTGGAGTCGAAGCACAAACCTGATTATGGGAAGTTTGTCCTCACGGCCGGGAAGTTCTACGGAGACGCTGAGAAGGACAAAGGTGAGGAGACCCCGGTGGGGCAGGGCTGGGACCCTTTCCCAGGCCTGGAAACCCCTCCCATCAACCCACCCCCCTCCCACAGGGATCCAGACGAGCCAGGATGCCCGGTTCTACGCCCTCTCCTCCCGCTTTGAGCCCTTCAGCAACCGGGACAAGACGCTGGTGGTTCAGTTCACAGTGAAGCACGAGCAGAACATCGACTGTGGGGGGGGCTATGTCAAGCTCTTCCCATCCAGCCTCAACCAGGAGGACATGCATGGAGACTCTGAGTACAACATCATGTTCGGTGGGTCCCTGGCCTGCCTGTGCAGCCCCTCAAGGTGCTGGTGAGACCCCCTCCTCACCTCCTGTCCCTTCCCCCAGGCCCTGATATCTGCGGCCCCGGCACCAAGAAGGTTCATGTCATTTTCAACTACAAAGGGAAGAACGTCCTGATCAACAAGGACATTCGCTGCAAGGTGGGTGGGGAGTGCTGGGGGGACGGGGTCCTCAGCCCCGCGGAGGGAGACCCCAGCTCCTCTGACTCCCCCCTCTCCCTCAGGACGATGAGTTCACCCACCTGTACACGCTGGTGGTTCGTCCTGACAACACGTATGAGGTGAAGATCGACAACGCGCGGGTGGAGTCGGGGAGCCTGGAGGAGGACTGGGACCTGCTGCCCCCCCGCAAGATCAAGGACCCCGACGCCCGCAAACCTGACGACTGGGACGAGCGGGCCAAGATCGATGACCCCGAGGACACCAAGCCCGAGGTGAGGAGGGGGCTCCAGGGGGTCTGGGGAGCTCTACAAGGGCTGCAGCAGCACCCTGACCCCCCCGCCCCCCTTCCCCCAGGACTGGGACAAGCCCGAGCACATCCCGGATCCTGATGCCAAGAAGCCAGAGGATTGGGATGAGGAGATGGATGGGGAGTGGGAGCCCCCAGTCATCCAGAACCCTGAGTACAAGGTGAGGCTGGGGCTGCACAGGGGGGTCTGAAGGGCTGGGCCAGGCCCCCCCATGTCCCTCTGTGTCCCCCCCAGGGCGAGTGGCGGCCCCGGCAGATCGACAACCCTGACTACAAGGGGAAGTGGGTGCACCCCGAGATCGACAACCCCGAGTACAGCCCTGACCCCCACCTCTACGCCTACGACAGCTTCGGGGTCACTGGCCTCGACCTCTGGCAGGGGCGCGGGGGGCCC